CGGAATACACCCTTTAAGGACAGATAACTGAGCATTCAGTGCAATGAGGTGGATACAAACTGTGCACACAATGTTGTTAGGAAAGATACAACTTTTCCAAATTAACACCTTTTTTAAAAATTGGAGGGTTTTTGCTTTCTCATGCAAGTTATCCCATGCTTGTTGCTTCAGCTGAAGAGAAAAAGGAAGGAAAGGCATGAAAACTGAGCTCCCAGTCACCACCATCATCCTCTGATGTGGATGTGGCTGGTTCAGCACCATGTGTCTACGTGGCTGGTAAAACAGTTTTTATACACACATACGCAAACCTAACAGATGGTTGTAATTATCTGCAGGCAGGCCACAACTCTAATTTGAAAGTCAGCAAAACAGGTTATTTTCTCTTGCAGCCTTCCTTGCCATCGCGCTAGACTGCTTCACGACCTCAAGGCAACTCTCTCTCCCCCTGGACAAGGCCTTTGGCCCATGAAGCAAGAGGCTCTTTGGCACCCACTGGGGAAAACGGCGGAGGGGTTGCCGCGCCCCACCCCGCACTGTATGCTTTTCTGGGCCCAAGGGACACGGTTCTGACCTAAACTAAAGTGCACGCATCAAATAATTGCCACCTCAAAGGGAAAAGCATCTACCTGCTACTTCAGAGCTTAATTCAAAAGGGGAAAAACAATCAAACACATTTAGGAACTTGTTTAGTTTAGCTTAAACATAGTCAAATGAGGATTTTTTTGACACTGAAAACTTCCATATTGAAGTGTACAGTACCAAGTAAATGTGTACTGAAGTTATTTTTAACTCGCCTCTCACCGCAACAAAAGCTCCTCTCTAATCCTCTGATCTGCTCTTCTTAAATACAGTTGCCTGGACCAGTAACCAACCACTGGCCGCAGAGACAAGAGAAAGGCAGCTCTTTTCAGAGCCTGCTTAAACACCATAATTTATATGGCTTGCAGTACAATCCAAATAATGTGGTTTATGGTGTCTTCTCCAAGACTATGCCAGTCTCCCGCATGCTGCGTTCTTAAGTAAAAGTAAACCGGAATCAACAGCTTCGGGAACAATTCTCTTTTGAACAGCAACAAGGCAACCGCTGTAGCACTTCCGCTTTCCACCTCCCACAGCTGCTTGTATTACCAGTACGTGCTCAGCACTGGCTTTGCTTCAGAGAGATGATGAAATCCCTCGTTCGCCTCCACAAAAGGTTCAATTTTCAAATGTGGGCACCTTCATATGGCTGCCACATTTAGCGCCGGTGTTTATCTTTCTATATTTGGCACATACCTACCAAGTACGTAAGGTAATCTGAGCGCTAGAACACAGGAGTTAAACCTTGCGTGCAGTTGTCCAAAAGCTGGATCTCCTATATCCAGCTGTTCCTGATGAACCAAAGTGGGGGATGCGGGAGGAGGGAAGGAGTAGCAACGAAAGCCTCAGCAACATATAATCCCTGGCATACTAACCCTGCTCCCTTCCTGGGCAACAAGAGCAGTGATAACCCAGAAACAAGCTCCTACGTAAAGCGGTGTTAATCAACAAGGCCAAAAAATACCAATCAGGAGCCTGTTCTGAAGAACCTAGAAAGGGCATGTACGGCCCATGCTTCTCCCACACTGAAAAGGGAAAGCAAGCACTCTTCTCTCTTACAGAAATTCAGACAAATAGTATCACAAGTAGAGGCTGACAGACCAGATGCTAATACAAGAAGATGGTTGCACACGGTCTATAACAAATTTTGTTTCATCTTCTCACTAACAGCACAGGTTCTGTCAGGAGTTTCACCTTACTAAGTACAGAGCCAGGCGCTATCCACGCTGTGAACGTAGTCTATGCACCAAATCAAACTCCTCCCAAAGAAACAGCACGAAATACAGAAAATTCTACACTGGCCTTTACAGCTGGAGCGGTTGGCAGCAGCAAAGAAAGGCACTGACACGCTTTGACACTTTTCGGCATCTCTAGCAAATATTTTTATAAAATTAATGGGGAAATAGTGAAGAGTTTAGGAATGTGGGGGCATGATCATGTGCGCTGAAGAGGCAAAAATGTTATTAAGAAAAGGAAAAGTAAACTGAACTCAAACGTCTGAAGATATTTACTTAAACGCTCTTTGCTGGAGAAGCAGCTCCTCAAATACAGACAAACACACAAGTTAACACGGAAAGAGTTGCATAAATATTTTCTTCCTTGGAAAGCAACTATTTAAACTTTTAATGAACTGTTCTGTATTTTTAAAATTAATATATACCTTACACTATAATTTAGCATATTGCACTTCACTTTTTGTTTTTGGTTAAAACCAAACCAAACACCAAAACTTATATCCTAATTAAGTGCATTCGTTCCTCATTCAGGGTACAACGGTGCTTCCCAGTCTCACTGCCACTGCGAAAACTAACAAGGAGCTACCGAATTCAAGGGCCACACCAATACGTCTGTAGTACTTCAAATATGTAACTTGAAAATGCCAGTACACCACTAAAAAGCCAGAATACAACTCTGTGCATCTATTTTATGAATATATACATAGCACATTTTTCTCCTACTTGGGAGGTGGACAACAGTGCACAGACCTGAGCAAAACAAGGATAAAATAACAAGCATCTATAAGCCAAAAGCCAGGACATGGCATTTATACAGTGATTTATATTAAGGGATGGAGAGAAGTCTTCCAAGGGGGTAAAATTAGCCCCCAAGCCCAGAATGCAGAGGTGCACATACCTTCCTGGGTTACCTACAATGCACAGGGGAGAGATACTATCAAAACCCTGAGACAGACACCACACACAGTATGTACACTATACTGACAGAGCAATTACTGGCCATGGGAGGCGACTTTTTCGGAGGGAAGGGAAAAGGCGAGGTATATTTTGGAAAGTTTTGATGCTCCTGGCCTGAACTCCAATGGTCCCTCTGGTCTTATGCAAGAACCAGTCTAGTCCCAAAGTAGAACGAAGAGAATTCTAATTTCTTTAGCTGCATGAATGTATTTGGCAAGGTAAAGTTAATGTAGCTGATTTTTTTCCTTTTAGTGTATGTGGTGTGAGGTTGTTTTTTTTTTTTAGGGTTTTTTTTTTTTTTTTTAAACAAATATTAAAAAATACTATAGCTCATACATTTTTTTCATTCTGGCTTGAGATGACATGGTTCATTTGCAGACTCCTCCTACACTACCTCCTCCTATAACACATACTCATACACCTAGTAACATTTCACAAAATTATTCAAGGCATCTAATCTGATTTTTTCAGTTTCTCTGTTCCTGGAGCCCTGTTCTGCTAAAACACTACCTCTGGCACGCCAGGAGCGGGGTAGCAAGAACAACAGGGAAAGAATCAAGAAAATGCTTGTTACATCAGGCCTTGGTTACATACATAGGACAAGAGAGACTCTTTCATATGCATTTCAAAACGCACCTTTTTTTCCCCAATCACCCTGCTTTTTCAGGAGAGCTGTACCCAAAAGAGCGAGCAGTAAAATTAACCAAACTGTAAGGACAATGAGTATTCACAGCAGCAACGGACTTGTCATCACTAACAGCACACAAACCTGTTTGTCTAGAACTCGGCACCAAGCATCAGCGTACCCTAAACTTGCCTCAACAAGCTAGGAAATAAACTGGGACACGTCTCTTCAGAGCGAGGTTATTCTTTGGCTCTTCAGAAAAGTTCTCCCTCCACACACACACTTTTTAAAAGGGGGGGGGGGGGGAAAAGCAGACATTCATGTCCCATTATCTGAGTACATATAATAGCTCAGGAAATAGAATATTTTAACTCACATGGAGTATTATATTCTAATGTAATAACACTAGGGGAAAAGCAAACTGTTACCAATATTTTTTTTCGTGCACACGTAGAATTGTTCATACATGCTCATATATGTTCATTTTTTGCCTGCTGATTTTTCTGAAAGGCAAAACGATTGGTTTGTTTTGAGAAAGCCAAAGACTTTCTAATGACAACTAAATACAGACTCAACATTTAAGAGTCTCATTACAAGCCCCTTTAAAGGTGACGCACAAATGAATATAATTTACTTGTGTCCTTTTTTGCTTCTTTGTCATAAAAAAATTTCTAAATATGGGGGAATTTTATTTTTACTTTAAGATACGTTTATGCTTAAAAATAAAGAAGCCAAATAAAATAGATTAAACTTGGAATAAAGCATATAGATGGCTAAACCGAGGATCTAGAAACACGATTTGAAAAAAAAAAATTTTATTCTGTAATTAATTTATTTTTATTAAACCACTGAGCAACCTACAAAAGTGAAATTTCACAACCTATGGCAGTCACTAAAACTCCCTATATCCTTCTCACATTTAGCGTAATGCTAGATTCAGGAAAGATTCAAATCTAGTCAGTTCAAGAGTAAAAAAACTATTTAAAACCAGGTAAATCTAATCACAAAAATCTCTACCACAGGGTTGAGAGAAAGTTCTGTGTAGACAAAATCCTAATTTTTGAAACTGCTCAACAGCTGGCTGGTCTCACGTACCCAAAACTCTTAACTACGTATATTTTATCATCATATGTGTTCTCAGCAGGACAATCAAGATTCCACCCCCTTTCTATTACAATAAAAAAAAAGGGGGAAGCTGATCAGAGCTGCATCTTGACTTGATGAGATCTCCAAATGGCAGTCACAGACTAAATCCCCCTGCATCCTCTCAGGTCACATACACAGACCACATTGCTGGTGCAGAGGGTCTAAAGGAGAAGAGAAAAACAAGAACCTTTACACAACCCAGTCACTGGAAAGCACATCAGTTATATCAGTTTTTAAAGGTTTCCAAAGGATTGCCTTGCCAGCCCTGGGCTAACTTCTCCTGCCATTTTTGTTGGGGAGAAGTTGCTACATTAGGCATACTTCAGGACTATACAAATACATAAAGAATTCTGGAGAACGTTAGGAAGGAAAATACCACAGAACAGCAAAACACACAGTAGTTACACAGTCAAAAACATCCCCTCTGGATATTTTTCTTAATTTTAGAGGAAACTTACATAGATTTTATCTCGCTGATATCGCTGGAATAAGTTGTGCATGATGGAGCCTTCATGGAGATCTACTAGTGCCGCCATGTCTTCCACACTCTCTGCACTCGTTTGATGCATAGGCGTTACTTTTTGGTGTGTGATTGTGCTCTGTTTGTAAGTGAATACCTGAAAGAGGGGGAAAAAAAAATCAGAATACACGTTCAAAAACTCAATACTTAAGAAGGGAGCTTTCATACCTGTTCTTGTCTATTCAGTTTACCAAGGGGTAGAATTGTAAGACATAATAGCTTGCCATTTATACCTTCTTTGACAATAATTAGGCCCCAAAGACATATGCAGGGGTCATATGAAACTAGCCCATACTGACAATACCCTGAGGACTGATGTCTGTTCTGGACAAAAGGAATCTAGTTTCACACTCGACTACTGAAGGACTTTATCTGGAAAATAACAAGCAAACTACCATTCCCAGAAAATCCAAAAAAACCCTCAACCAAACAACAAGGCAAAACGTCATTTGCTGGTCCCCCTTCCCCCCCCCCAGTAAAACCCACTCATATTCAAATTACTTTGGGGAAACATGCTTCACCCTACAAGAAAGCAAAAATGAATGGACTGATCTAACAGGGCTACAAGTGTTTGTATGTTCGATCCAAATTCCATTTAAATGTTTCAATTCAATTCTCTGATCAGGATCACTAGTAGGTTAGGTCAACGAACAATTGAAAGGGGACAGTCAGTATCATTATAAGATTACTCTTAGCATAATTAGCGCACCAAGTTCAGCAGGCTGCAGATATTTGAAAATGAATGAGTGAATCAATTCCTAATCAATGCTCTATTGAGATGAATATCTGAAGTCCATTCAAAATGGACAGTAAAAAGCACTAAAAAAACGTGATTTAAATACTCAGCCATAAAACATTTCTACATATATTCTGCAAAACTACTATAAATATGCTCAGAAGTTGCATATAACCCCAATAAAGTTAAATAAACTTTTATGAATACTAATGACATCACTAAAGACTATAAATCACTTTGCAATTCAGCTTCCCATTTCCTTTTAATTCACATCTTGGCAACTCATCCCTATAGACATACATCTGCATTTTGAAGCCAACACTACTTAGGCGATACTAACGTGTATCGCCTGGCTAACGTAACCACTGTTTAACCCACAGCTCGACTTTCTTGGTGAATGTGAATAATCTAATAATGTGGAACATAAAAATCTTCCAAAATATTTTGAACTAATATTTATAAAACTTTCATCTGATTGAAGAATTGCAGTAACTACAGCCCAACTGCTTGTGAACATCTCAGAATTGCGTGTGTGGGCTGTGGATTACACAGTATTATGGAATGGAGCAGTCCAGCGCAAGATGCCAAGCCTTCCAAGGAAAAGAAAACTCAAAAGATTTTCAGGAAAAAACCCACACGTGTATATTTCTTGCAACGAACGATTGAAAGGGGACAGTCAGTATCATTATAAGATGCTATTCATGAAAATAGATTCCTGGCAGTCAGTGTTGCATGATTTTTTTCTGTCTTGCTGAGACAAGTGAGAAAAGGGAATTACAGAAGCAGCAGGCTGAATGTAGAACAGACTTAACATTAAAGCTTTGTACCAGAATAACCCACCAAATGAATAAGGAGAATTGCCTGATAAAAAGCGTTCACTAAAATCATACTCCAGACTGAATATACCAACTTTTGGCACAGACCAAACAGCTACAGCTGTCATTCGTACCAGTACAGAGTATACTGAGGGAAGGCTGAGGGAAAAAGAGGAGGAGGAAGATTTGGGAAACAAATTTCTAACAGGAGCTGGAAGAAAGCCCAAACATCAATGAGACATACAAACAAGCACCAAGAACGTTCCTAAAGATTCAGGATAATCCAAAATACGATCCACAACCATGGGAAAAGACAGACATGTAGGGATTTAATTGTTTCCTGTAAAATACTGCTCATCAGATGGAAGGTGAGAAGACAAGCATTTGTACAGGGTAGAGAGGTTGGTCAGCATGAAGAAAAGAGCAACTTAAACATATTCAAGGGGAAGTGATCCAGATGTTTCAAACAGAAAGAATGAGAACAGAACCATCAGTAGCAAAACTTTGAACCATCAGTAGCAAAACTTTGGGGTTGAAAACAGTCTTAGAGGACCCCAGACTAACCACACAAAGAATAATCTAGAATTAGAGATAATCACATTTCAAGTGGAATAAACTGCAGTTCTTAACTGGAAGAGCTATGGTGAAAAAGCAAAGGCAATACTGCAGAGCAAAAAATAACATAAGCTGGAAGCCTTGGAAATAATGGGGAAGCAGAGCAAATTTTAGAAAAGTAAGCAACTCAAACTGAGGCTACATATCAGGGAGGAGACGGAATTAAAACAGAAAAATAGACTCAATAGGAGAATTAGGAAACCAGAATATGATAGCACATGTTCTGTGAGTGTGGGTCATGTGAACATAGAAAGGAGATAGACCATCATTTCTAAGAGGAGAATTTTTCTTAGTGATTTGTATTCTTTGGTATGTGATGCATAGGCTCATAAGACTATGCATAGCTTTTCATTCATTGTTAAGCACATTTATAAGCATAAGGAATTAATAAAAACACATTAAGAAAAATAACACGACAATTGACCTGAGAGGAGTAGGACTATGGTCTCTATAGTTTAATCCTTCTCTCTCGAAACCAGTTTCCTCTTGTTCAAGCTGGTCCATCTCATAATTTCAGCTCATCCACAGGTTGCCTTCTCGTCTGGATGAGGAAATCGCTCTCTGAGCTGATTTAGAGCTCTGCTTGTACACTGAGCAGCTAGAAAGCACACTCACTGGTCACACAGGCCGTCACCCAGAGCAGAAAGGACAAGGGTTTCTTCCTCCATGTTAGAGTTATTTTTCCATTGTTTTTGATTTTTATCAGAACTGTGCACCTTTCAAACTTTATAACCTCGCTGCCAAATTTGGTCAAAATCAGCAAACAAGATCAAAGTCAGCAGGCAGGGTAGCAGGATCATATGCATAGGCCTCATTTCCTTACAATGGACTGCTGGTAGTCCTAGTATTGAAGCCCTGCAGACCCTGCTTTTGTTGTTTCATCTTGGCTCACGCCTTTTTTAAGATAAGTATGTGAAAAAACAACCTTGAACTTCATCAATACTAATTAGAAGGTCATGTTATAAAATAGTACAGCAGAAGAAATCCTCAGGAAATAGAAACCTCATAGTCTTCCTACAGGGTCAAAATGCAAGAAAGGAAGATGAAAAAGTAGGTTCCTGAACTTTAAGAAGAGCATGTTGGCAGAGTACAGGAGCTTGCATCCTCTAAGGTCTTTCCAGCATTTCTGGAAGGTCAAGTAAAACATGCAGGAAACTTTGAATAAGATTTAAGACAAACCTAAACGAAAATTCAGCAAAAAAACACTTTCCTCTCAAGATAGAAATGGACCAAGATAAGAAAACATGCTGAATACGTAGAAAACTATAAATTAAGCCCCAAAGAGACAGCATGCAAAACAATAACTCTCAAAATTACTGTGGAAGTGAAAATTAGAGGTTGAGATAGGAACAAACAATGCAAAGAACAGCAACAAAAAGAACAAATTTAAGAAATGTAAGATAAAGCAGTAAATCCTGCTAAACAATAGTAAAGAGTATCTCATTGGGAAAGAGGAATAATACTTCAGAACGGCTTGACTGTCCTTATCATGGCTTACTGGTGCCATGATAAACACACCACAAACGGACCCAAATGAAGTAGCAACCGTAAAACCCAAGGGCACTATGATTCCAATGTCCTCAGATAGCACAGAGCAAAGCTGTCACAGGTACTCTGGGAATTAGGAAGGCAGCAGTCAAACACTCAGATATTAATTTCTGAAAGGAGAGCCGACACCTGCAGGCTGAAGGAACACTGTTTAGTACCAGTCTCGAAGAAGAAAGTAAACATGACTGAAAGGAGGTGATTATATGCTGCCAAGTCAGATTTCTCTCACTAGTTTAAAAAAAAAAAAAAAAAGAAAAAAAAGAAAAAAGAAAAAAGAAAAATCAAGAAAAACAGATAAACAAGGACAAGAATGTTTGCCTGAACATTAAAAATAGGGTGACACACACAAAGCATGCATACAAAACACACAGATTTAGTTATGATAGCCTATTTCAAAGGTTTTAAGATATGACCCCATGTCCTGATTCATGTTTGTCTGGTAATCAACAGGTTTATGAGCTCAACTCTATTCTCTCCAGAACTGCATAAAGTTTATCAATCTCACCAGGACAGAGATGCAGCCAGAGTAGCATCCAGGTCTCCCTGCCCAATGACAATACCATCTGCAGCATTTGTTAGACCTGCTTTAAGATACAATGTCAAGCCCTAGATATTGAGTGTGGGAACTAATTCCTATTTCAGAAGTATTTCCCAGATGGGAAAGAATGAGAAACAGAAAAAATTAATTCATCATCCCGCAAAGACAATGTTTGCCTTGCACATAGAGGAAAAGAAGCTAGAGGGAAGTCAGTGACAGCACATAAGCTCTTCCAGGATATGGATATGACTGCATCTCACAGGCCAGATTCCCCCATCACCCCCTGAAACAGTATCCAGATCCCCAATTGCTGCTGCAAGAAGTACGTTCTCTTTACAGAAGATGCCAGTAAGATACTCTCTAATACACTGTAGGAAGCTTAAGAACTTACAACAACACGCCCTGAGATTAAAGGTGAGATTTTGTAGATGAACACTAGGTAGAGGCATTTTTTGATGGTTCAAGTTTTGTGATGGGTTTTGTTCCAAAATAGTGGAATCTCCTGGAATAAATCAATTCATATGGGACTCCCCTCTGGAAAGCTGGCAACTCCTAAATCACGTGCTAAAGTAAAGACATATAATGAAAATGATGGCTTTACTAAATAAATATTTAATATTGATTATTCATAAATACAGCACCTATTCATGAATACTGCTGCATCAGCAATGCAATATTGTACTCCACAATTTACAAGCATTTATTAGGTGAGTCTGTAACTTGGTTAACAGAAATAGTTTCTAGTAAGCCATGAAATTTGGAATAACTTGACAGAGTATTTCAAGTGAATACACTCCTGTAAATCTACCCAGGAGATTACTGGAGAATTACAGCAAGTAATGAAA